AATAAATGTTTTATTATACATTTGAAGAATAATAAACATAGTATTAAAATAGTATGTTTATTATTCTTCAAATGTATAATAAAACAATTATTGAATTCGGTTTTTGAGATATGCAAAATTATCAAGGTCTCGGTAAGCGTTATCAGCCTCGCCTTCGGCTCGGCTGATAACGCTTACCTCGACCTTGATAATTCCGCATATCACAAAAACCTCATCCAATAATTGTTAATTATTATACATTGGAGTTGGTAAAAGCAATTTGATTGGCTAAGAGCTTACAGTTAAATCACGCAACCTACAGAAAATTCAGTTATCGGCTAGCAGATAACTGAGTTATCTGCAAATGAGCCTGCGATGATTAGCAAGCGGTATCTATTTAACACAAACAAATGTATAATAAAACAATTATTGAATTCTGTTTTTGCGATATGCAAAGTTATATCAAGGTCTCGGTAAGCGTTATCAGCCTCGCCTTCGGCTCGGCTGATAACGCTTACCTCGACCTTGATAATTCCGCATATCACAAAAACCTCATCCAATAATTGTTAAATATGTGCGTAGTTTATTGAAGTAAATTTTCATCAACTTAACTCTCAACGATGAAAATATGCGATTCTGACTAGCATTTTTTATCGGACTTGTACTTGCTTATTTTTTATCCATTTGGCATGAGAACATGTTATTCAACAGCCGTAAAAGCCTGATCTTTCCAAAGATAAAAAATCTTGTTTATACGCAAAGTAATTCAGATACAATAGCACGCTGAAGTTCGATTACCTTTTTTTATACACCCTGTATATGTATATAGGTTATATATATATGAGTCTTTATTGACCATTGAGGTTTCCTAACGTACGTTTTTACCACAATTGATTAAAACTTAAATTGTGATTCATTATATTATCACACAAATATGTCTTAAATCTGTATATATTTTAGCTTTGGATATAAAAACTAATAGTCAATAAAATCAATAAAGAATATGAAAAATTTTATGTTAACACTGTTGTGACATTGCATAATTTTTTAGGGAAATGATTAACGGGGTTTGATACATGGAGCCGTATTATGCCTCCTCCCGGCTAAATAGCTTTTGAATCTTTTCCGACATAAAGTATCAACCCTTTCAGGAAATGTGCTCGCCTTTCCCCTTTGGCGATGTGTATATGGTCACGAATTATTTCAACAATAACAATGGAAATATTTTTGTTTGACTGCGGGGACCAAACGTTTGAGGAAAATATTTTCTTTTAAAATGTGAAATGATTAGCTTTTTTATTCTTTGGTTTATATTATTGACACTATAATTCATTTTGGAAGATTAATTTTGATATGTTGATAAATTGGCAAAATAATATTTCCTCTGGGTTCATGATTCGAAAGGCGAAAGCTAATTTGTGGAAGTGTTGAAATTTAATATTTTTGTGCTCTTTAAGGTGGTCTTCCACCCAAATTTTCCAATATTCGTTATTTTTTAGAAAAACGTAAAAATGTAGTCTTTATAGCGTTCTTTATAAAATACTTGTAATTTTAAGAACGAAAATGTACCGTAAACCAGAGAAATCCAGCAAATTCTACACCTTCGTAGGGTAAAACCACGTTTTTACCCGGAGCAATAAAGATGTGCGATTGGTTTAGTCTATTGTTCCATTTTCAATTATATTGTTCTATCTAAGTTATTCTAATATATGCAAAAACTTTAAAATCGCTTTTCTCACATGAGCATTTTGCGAAATACTAAAAACTCTCCTACTGTTCATACTGAATCAATTCGTTCGAAATGTTACATAGCCATGTCATGGACCTAAAAAACGTCATATATCAGCAATATACATTGCAAGAGTAGCCTTATAAGAACTCCTTTCTTCATATAATTTTAAAAAAGTAAAATATGAAGGCCTTATTATATTTAATACTTGTATATTTTTTGGGGTTCATGACATAGATCGATGTATTAAGTGTCCATTAAAGCTGTTTCTAAAATCCTCGGTAAATTAGTTTGGCTCACATCATTTTTGGAGCAAACCCTATATTTTACCCTATAGCGAGGCCTATCTTAGTTACTATGGCAACGACGAATGTAAAAGGTACTGATCATGCGTCAGCTGAGGATATTCCATCTTATTTTTCACCCTGCTCGGTTTCCTTTGTTCTTATCGGGGAATATATTCAATATTCCACTCTAATCAATTTCCGTTTAATAGTCCCCTCCAGTATTCACCTGCAATTAATAATCCCCTCTAATATTCACCTGCAATGTCTTTGCAGCACAAAAAAGAGAAAAAAAACAACATAACGAAGGCAATATGGCATTAAGAATTATTTCTATTCTGACTCATGAACGCAACCTCGCAATGTGAAAAATAAGTACGTTATTTTGAGGCATCTCGGGGATATGTGTTTATTCACCTCGGCGCTGCGCGCCTCGGTGAATAAATCACATATCCCCTCGTTGCCTCAAAATAACCTATACATATTTGATTCAAATATGATGATAAAACCTTTAAATTGAAAAAAATGTTTTTAGGGTGGAAGACCCCCTTAAGTTGAGGTATGTAAAAGACGAAAATTCTGAGGGCGACGATTTGAATTCTCATGTTTGACTTTGCGCTTATGGGACGGACCATTAGAGGGGCATTTTGTTCCGGGTTTCTAACTAAATAAAAATAAAGTGAAATATGTATAGATATATTATTACCATTAATACAGTCTATGCACAGGCTCTATCAGTTCTGAACTGTTCTTCCTAGAGGTCCAGTAACGCCATCCCACGTGTTACCTAAAAAGCTAAACTAAACTTTACTTCAGTACTGGACAGACCAATTGTAAGGTCTGTGTCACAGGCAAGGGTCATGTGGTTCAGTGTTACTAGTACAAGAGAAAACCTAAGCTAAATGTTACACTGGTCTCACCGGATAGCACTGTCCTCCAAAAAGGTTCTCGTGACGACTCCACGATGGACTAACTCAAATTTGTATGACGTCCTATTGCGTGAAACCCGCGCGGGACAGGCACGGATTTGAAATAAGCCTATCAGAGCGCCATGGTATTATTGTGCAAGGTTAACCTGCGATAAACCTACGGTAATTAAAACTCAATTGTATGTACAGCCCATTGCGTTTGTATATCCGCATACAAGCAGGGAGGCGCTCAGGCGCCTATATCCGTGGGAGGCGCCTATATCCGTGGGAGGCGCCTATATCCGAGGGAGGCGCATATATCCGAGGGAGGTGCCTATATCCGATGAAGGCACCTATATCCGTGGGAGGTGCCCATATCCGATGAAGGCACCTATATCAGGGGATGACACTGCATAAGATGGAGTTTTCATATCTTGTATGCATCTCGCGTACCTGTCGTAGCAGTGCTGTCAATTTATAATTAGGGACACGCACATTAGCCGGAATTTCTATTAGAATAATTGGAGGGGTTTCTTTGAAACCGGAAATAATAGGCAAACGTTTCAATTCGGTATGACGTCATAGTGGTAATAATGTAAATTAGCACTATGCGCCATCGTGTACTGTCTCAAGTTCTGATTTTTCCTGGTCTTGGTTCGACTTGGTGAAGAATAATTTTGGAAATAATTGGGAGAAATTTTAAGAATAATAGAATAAAGCATAGTTTGTTAAGATACGATCGTCTGGAAGCCTGGCAAACTTCAAACTCACAATATAAAAGACATTTGTTTCATAACAGTCACCCTCACCGTGCACAAATCCTTTGTCTCAACTTCATTAAATGTTAATTATTCATCGTGGTTGCAACTTATATCTCAGCTATTCCTATTGCATGGTTTGAAATACAATGAGCTCAATCACCGTGACCGTGCACAATTTAACATAAACTCAGACAAAAACATAACACAATACTTTCTGTTCAATGAGGGTCCTGAAGGGGGGTCCCAATCCCATTTCCCACCTGAAATTTTTGCAAAATCCCAGTCCCAGTTGGATTTTTATTAGAAGTCCCAGTTATTGCAATCCCAGTCAATAAAAACCCCTTTATTTATCGGTAGAATAAACAGTTTTAAGACCTTTCAAGCAAGTGGCGGACACTTTATGAAATACTAGGGGGGCTCCCGGGAATGGCATTTGAATCCCGGAAATGGCATTTGCAGCATTCTGAGACACGCATAATCAGAAAACCCAGAATTCCGGGCGCCAGAGTATGCCTGTTCGCAGGTAGTGCTGTGAATAATATAGTTAACAACAAAAATCATGACCAAAGACACCAAAAACGGATCAAAATTGTATTTTACAGTCAATTTCAGCTGACTTTTCATCGTAAGATTCCGAACTTCGTTCCGAACTTCGCAAATTCGTTGCCAAGTTCAAAAGTTCATAATGAAATTCACAAGCAGGTTTGTAAACAGGGCATTTGATTGGCTGGTTTGATTTAATAGCCAATCAGAGGCTTTGCTTACAAACCTGTTTGTGAATTTCATTATGAACTTTTGAACTTGGCAACGAATTTGCGAAGTTCGGAACAAAGTTCGGAATCTTACGATGAAAAGTCAGCTGAAATTGACTGTAAAATACTCAAAACGCAGAAAAATTGGGAATCGAGTCTCATTACCTCAATCCCAATCCCATTTTTGAGGACTTCATTTCCCATTCCCAGTGGCCAAATCCCAGTCCCAGCAACCCAAATCCCATTTTTCCCAGTCTAAAAATAGATAAATCCCAGTTCCCATTTTACCTCTTCAGGGCCTCTTCAATGACTTCATGTTCAGTTTCCAGGCCATCGCTCTTGATAGACTATGGATAAAGTTCAGAAAATTAAGGAATAGAACGTGTCGGGGGCTTTTTTAACTATATAACTGCCCCCACTCAACCATTTTGCCCCCCCCCCCCAGTCAAAGTCCAATTTCTCTAAAATATCAAGGGAGGTTTGATATTCTAGTAACTGAAATTTACTTTGTGAATCGTATGTCCTGTCTAATTTTATCTTCAAATGATCCAACGTCTTTTTTAAAATGCTAAACATTTTGTTGTAAATACCTTAAATTTTAAAAATTTCCAAGTGGTAGTGATGATCCCAGACTCTATAAATTTGAGGTGTTGGAAGGCTAGGCTATACAAGTTAGTGACTGAGTTGTGGTATTTACATAACTTACAAGTACTTAACTGAAGATTCAGTCATCTACAGTATAATTTGAAACGCTGCATATCCAAAAATCTGTTTCTAAACTTTTTGTCACCAACAACTATCTGTCATCTCTCCAAACTCAATATAGTGTGGTCCCTTTTTGTGGATCCCCCACCGACGAATTCTCAATATCTCAATCACGAGGAAACGAGGCTCTATAGCCCCGGCTAAGTGGTTACAATCTCGTTCCCCAAGCCTGCGATCCTCGGGGAACAACCTCGTCCCCAGGGTCTTCTTCGTGACTGGGAACGAGGTTGGTTTCCGGATTAAGGGTGTTTACAATACGTTAATTAACAAATATAAAACATTCTCCGTGTTGATATACAGTCTCTCTCTTCCGCAGAGGCTTTACCTTCGCCCAGCAATCTCGTACCCAGAGCAATGCCTGTGCGCGGGCTGGGATGGCATTGGCTCTGGGGAAATTGAATTTTTCCTGTGCTGTGATTGGTTTAACGTTTGTCAATCGTGTATGCCGACAAAGAACCGGAACCCCTAAATTTAGGGGTTCCGGTTGTCAATTTCCCCAGAGCCAATGCCATCCTAGCCCGCGCACAGGCATTGCTCTGGGTACGAGATTGTTCGCCCAGCGGCTACGCTCGTGTTCCAAGGTCAGCCATGTAAATTGTAAAGTGTAGTCAAATGTATCTCATCGTAGCCTACGGTGTAGACCCCAGCAGAAACACGTTTCGTCTTTCTGCTGGGGTCTACACCGTAGGCTAATCTCATCGTATTATAGTAATTGCTGCCGAAGGCAGCACTCCTAATCTTGACATGAAGGTTTCTCCAGAGTTCACTCGACCCAGTCTTTCGCGCCGATCTATGTATTGTCGAGATCTCGATCTTGTGTCTGTTAAGATGTCGTAAATCCGGGGGGGGGGGAACGGACGGGGGGAGTGCGAGAAAATATTTATATGGCTATATGCAAACTTATTCTGGATCTGCACTTGATGCAAAATATACGCCGAACCACAGGCGGCCCAATCTCAGAATGAATGATCAGGTGTTGCGGGTTTTTAACGGTGTTTATAAACAAATTTATAGTCCACCAAAAGTATTTTAAAAACATTCTTAAATTAGTCAAAAAAATACATTTTAACAATAAAATATAGTTGACATAATAGTATAATACCTTTGCATTCTTTTAATTACTCCATGAACTCATTTAGAGCGGTTGATGTAACATTTTCTGTGGCCTACATTGTGTGTGCTCATCTATATATAATATAACAGTAAAAGGCTAATCACTGGCGGCACGACCGCATCGCCTTCAATGTCAAATATCTCCGCTCAAACTTCTCGTACGCCAAAACAAATTCGATTACATCTTTTCACAAAGATTTCTCTTTCTAAATAATATGGTTTGATCGTAGCTTGGGCAAATTTAGCGACGAACGGAACCAAAATCTCCTCAATTTCGGATACTGTTCGAAATACTTAGGGCTGCTCGGGCACGATCGTGGACGTGACGTAATCAATACATACTGACAATAACGCCTTACCCGGGGTGAGACAGCATATCAAATTCGACGATAGTTTGTCGCTTTATGCTGTCCCACCCCACGTAAGGCGGTAAGGCGTTATTGCCAGTATGTATTGATTACGTCACGTCCACGATCGTGCCCGAGCAGCCCTAAGTATTTTGAACAGTATCCGAAATTGAGGAGATTTTGCTTCCGTTCGTCGCTAAATTTGCCCAAGCTACGATCAAACCATATTATTTAAAAAGAGAAATCTTTGCGAAAAGATGTAATCGAATTTGTTTTGGCGTACGAGAAGTTTGAGCGGAGATATTTGACTTTGAAGGCGATGCGGTCGTGCCGCCAGTGATTAGCCTTTTACTGTTATATTATATATAGATGAGCACACTCAATGTAGGCCACAGAAAATGTTACATCAACCGCTCTAAATGAGCTCATGGAGTAATTAAAAGAATGCAAAGGTATTATACTATCATGTCAACTATATTTTATTGTTAAAATGTATTTATTTGACTAATTTAAGAATGTTTTTAAAATAGTTTTGGTTGACTATAAATTTGTTTATAAAAACCGTCAAAAACCCGCAACACCTGATCATTCATTCTGAGATTGGGCCGCCTGTGATCAGTTCTGCTCATAACAAACGGGGACCCCCAGATATAAACATTGCCCAAATTTTGCATCTTTCGAACTTTTTTGAATTGAAACGTATGGTGAACCCGAAAAGTGTTAGATATTCAGCTTGTATATCATCATATTTTACAAATATAGAAGTTCAAAACGTAAACAAAGATCGCACATGCGCACACGAGTGGAGATCATCTTTAATATAAAAATGTTTCTATTTAATATTTAAAATTTAGATGTAAAGATATTGTCAATTACGTGCCAGGCAAAAGTACACAAAAATTATATTTCGTCAACATTTCTATATACAGTATAATTATAATGGAAAACTATAGGTAAATCTCATACTGTAGCTATTTATGAATGAAATACTGAGTGAGTTTTTCAGATGTATTTATTTGACGACTGAATTGTCGTGTACATATGATAAATATTTTGTAGCTTTTTCTGTAGAAACCTGCTGTTTCATACTGTATATATTGTATTTCACAGTTTTTACTGACATTTAATTTGCCATGGAATAGCTGATTTGAGAGTTTTTCTTCCGATAATATTTTAAAATCAAACAGAGGCTTTGTCAACCTCGTACCCAGAGTCCTCGAGACCCTGGGCACGAGGTTGAGGCTTTGTCCGTGAAATATTGTGTAAACAGAGAAGGTCCCGAAGACGGGGGGGGGGGGAGGAGACAATTGGGGTATTTCACGCTTTCAAGACTGGCTGAAATTACATATAAAATTAAGTTCTGTCTTGTAATGTATCATCCCGTGTTTTAATGTTTTATGGCAATTTTAGCGGACATGTACATTTTAACAAAACAAAATTGATAAGATAGGCTTAATAATGTAGATAAATCTAATAGCTCATAAAATGTGTGAGAATTTCCTTTTTTTGCATGTGAGCTTCAGAAATCCTTAGAATGCGTGTGTCTCGCGCAGAATGTCTATATTTGATAGGGATACGGCTACATTTGCAAATTACTATAGCAGACCTGCCAAGTCTCACGATTTAATCGATTTAATCGAGACTCACGATTTTTGATGCTTTCTCAGGATCTCACGATTAAGTCCCCAAATCTCACGATTTTCGGAACTTATGAAATCATCGAAGAGCGCAACATCTAGTTACAATAAGGCACACTCTTCCAAGGACACATCACACTTTATTAGTGTATTAATAATGCGCCTCTGAATGCGCAATGTACAACGCCAGAATTTTGTATGCGTGATGTTTGTGTTACAAAGTAAAAGGCGTGTCCTGCTAAGTTTATTGTCCTGGGGCCGGTTGTATCAAGCCCGTTTAGCTTAAACGGTGGATAAGTCAAAATTAAATAGAACTCTTATGAATACTGAATATGTAGTTGTAAACATTATCGTTCTATTAAAGTTCAAAACTTTTAATTTGGTTGTTGAATGAATCTATAGACTTGCTTTCTATTTTGAGCTTAACCACCGTTTAAGCTAAACGGGCTTGATACAACCGGCCCCAGTTCTAAATTCTAATATTACTCGTAGTTTTCTTGTTTTTGTACAGTGGAAACTACTAAAGCCATAAAGAATTATTTTTAATATTTATTTTTAATAAGCCTTGCATTTACGGTTATATTAACAAAATATAAATGCATACTATCATAAAATTGAATATCTATTGATTATTTTCTAGTGTTGTTAAAGTTAACCCTGGTCATATTAATGAGCAAACGATTTCAATCTCATGACTTTTTAGATAGCAACTCACTATTTCTGCTACTCAAGGGTTGGCGGGTCTGCTATAGTTGCACAAAAACACTAGCTCAATATACGATGATTTCCGGTGATTCAAGTGCTTCCCGCTTTGCTTGAGTAGACCTAGCTAAAACACTTGCTCGCAGCTGAAATGTCGCACCACATTGTCTAATTAATTAAATTTCCTTAGAAATTCTATCAAGATTTTCCTCATTTAAGTATTTAACAAATAATGCCTCAAATTAAAGTGTGATGTTAAAAAACTATACTCCGTCTCGTTTTCAACATACTCAGGTTTATTGAATTATTCCAGGGGCGTGGGTTTTTGTCAACCGCAAAGCATCATGGATGTCTGTATAAATGCTGATTAATTAAGGGTTCGCATTATTTTCCATCCAGCAAATCGCCCTATCGATTTTCTAAAGTCGTTTCTTTTTGGTTTTTTTGTATTAATTTTGGTTAGGGTTACAGTTAGGGTTGCGGTTAGGGGTTAGAGTTGGGGCAGGGTTAGAACATGGCCTCTTTCATCTTCCGACAATGACGTCATGTCAGTTTGGTGGATGGAAAATAGTGCTAACCGATAATTAATGGCGGCCGGAAAAAGCAGTAAGATAATATTATAATGCGAGTTTTTTAGAAACGAAATATAGCCTTGTACAAAAAGAATACCAAAAATTGCTTCCTGACATTAAAGAATTACGTTCGTTTGCTATGGTATCAATTATGTGGACAGATAACTTTAAAATTGGACGAAGTTTTATCAAATTTTGTGAAGCGAAGCGACGGAAGCCTGTCCTTGCGAAATGCTTTTGTTAAAACTGGTATCGTTTAAGCCCGTAGAAGAGGACACGCGTACAAAATGGATAAGTATATGAACGATACACATTCACTTTATTACAATGTCGACCATTCTTCGATGTTCGGCTCGAATTTGTCGACGGTTTTCGCCGACGGGCCGCCTCCGTTAGAGGACGGTGATGACGACCACGGGGAATTTGTATTTTCGTCCGAAACCGATGCTAT